AATGCACTGGATAAGTGCAATAATAGGGACTGGAAGGTGCATGAAATCCTCACAAAATTACTGGCATTTATAGTTCAGAACAAATCTGCATAATTACATATGTTTTTAAAAAGAGAAAAAAACCAATTGTCTTATACCTGAGCTGTATCATACAGGCTTTATGATTTTACCTAGTTATTAGCACAGTCAGACCAGTAATTTAGTTGTGTATCACATCTGGAGTTCTCTGCATTTCTGTACAAACTTTCCTCAAGTAATGAACTCCAGTTTTCTACTTATATGGACTCTTGGTAAAAGTAACTTTAAAGAGAAAATTAAAAGTAAGTAAAATCATGGCTGCAGCAAGACACACTTCCCGCAAGGCATGATTAAGCTACAGTAGAAAGGGTAAGTTTAGGACACAGTTGCTGCTGTATAGCCATGGTCTGAAAGGCTTTCAGGAGCTATACTCTAGAGGTTTTAAGTGCCAGGAGGGACTTCCAGTATTCTGTAGAGAAAGAATCTTTGTTCATAAAGTTGACATGTGCTGGATTCTAGCCAAACTGTTGTGTTTGTAGATATCATGGGCCTTCGACTCTTTTTATTGAAATGGTTGAGCTAATTGCTGAGCTATGGGTGACTAATGTTTTAAACAGAATCAGAGACATCATTCCCTGGTTTGGCCTTCTCCTTCCACTGGCATCTCTGTGGAAGGGCAGGATTCAAGTTTTGAAATATTTTGGTGCCCTTCTTTGCATAGATGTGTGTTGCTGAAAACTGGGCTTTGAAAGTAAATATTTTCCCCAAAAGGGAGGGTGTGCTAGAGAAGGATGGGAGTGAGAATGCTGCTGGGCAAGGAGGTACTGATGTGAATGCCCCAAGAAAGCAGAGTGAGAGCAGGAGGCAGCCTGTCCAACTGGAACATATGAAAGCTCTACCCTGCAGCAGGAGCAGTAGGGTTCTGGTGCTCTAAGGTGCTGAGCTGCCAGCTACTGATTTCTAGGTCAAGTCTTGTCACTTGCTCCTTACAGAAAAAGAAGTTGACCTGTTTTAGTATGTATTAACATGATAGTTGGTAGGCTGCTGAGAAATGGGAATCTCTCATCTGGGGAAATTGGATATGTGGACTAAGAGAGTCTCTGCTTTGGGTAGTTTTATAAACAGACAGAAAATGCAGAACACATACCAAGGAAGGGGTGACCCATTTTGCAAAATGGGTCACAAAAAAGCAGCTGTCTTGTCCCACTTGCATCCTTCTGATTATTTAATCTGATAGGTGCTTTGTTTGTTTAATTTGAAGTTCCCCTCAACTAAGAGGAACTAACTTATGATTTCCACATTACTCTGTAAATATCTTCCCGATCACAAAAGCTAGTAGTTTTCTTGGTGTCATATTAGACCAGTTCTCCTTTGCTACCTCAATAAAGACACTCCAACAGCAGCTGTGATATTTTTCCATATTATTAGAGATCAGTAGTTAAAGCCAAGGTCAGAAAAAGAAAGCACAGCATGTTAGGCATTAGTGGCTTTGAAATGGCAAAGGCTGTGAGGGTGCAGGCACATCCAGAGAGGCATGGATGCATGTTTGTTTCTAAAAACTCAGGTCCTAAAAATATAATGCAGATTTTTAAAGCATGTGGAGTCACGTTTTCAAAGTATCTCTGCACCCCAATGCATGAAGACCAATAACAGTGACTCTTCAGCAGATTAGCATGGGATCTTTCTACTTCAAATTATCTGCATGCTTCACAAACCACATGCTTTAGAAGACTTGTTTATTCCTGAAACCTGCTGCTAACCATGCTGATTATTCAAAACTGGAATGAGCTTTCCAAATATACTCGTCTTCCTTGTATTAATTCTGAGTACTTTAACTGAACTAGAGATCACACTGAGAAACTGAAAAACTATGAGCATGACCTGGCATATTCTATTTAGCAGCTAAAATATTCCCTGTGAGATCACCTGTAGGACCACTGTGAGGAAAAGATGCTATGTCACTCTGTTAGAGTAAGGATAAGGTTTTCAGAACTCAAGATAATGTAAAAGAGCACAGTCCAGCTTTGAGCACTTACTGAAAAAGAGCTGTTTGGGTGTAGAAGCCAAATGGATAAGCAGTCTCCCTGCAAATTTGGCATGGAGAAAGAAGATAAAGGCAGGCTTTAAAACCAGAAATACTGTGGAAGGGAGCTAACAACCCACATGTACATGCAGAAGTAGCAGACAAGGGTGGAAAAAAATAGTGTTGGGTAGTCAGAGCAAGACCTCAAGAATTGTGAAACAAGGTAGAAGATCTCACCATCAGAGTGAGAAAATGCATTAAGTCTGGGGAATATGCAAGATCAACTGAAACTCTGCACATATTTGTGAAGAAATAATGTTACTGGAAAACTGAGATGTTGAGGGACATTTCTCACTACCAGAAGCTCATCAGGAAAAGAAGTTATATGAAGGAGCCACTTGGGTGTGAATGGCTTCTGTCTGGGCGGATGAGAGCTGCTGGAGAACTTGTGGATCAGCTTCAGTGAAGAGGCCAAAAGGAGTGATTCTGTTGTGGGAGTGCATAATAGACCATCCCAAGACAGTGGACATGGGGACTTCTTAAAACAACTCATGGAAACTTCTGTCTCACAAACCCTCATTGCCACCAGGAGCTTGATCTACCCTGATGACTGCTCAAAAGGCAGCACATATATAATGTACAACCAGGGGTGGTGCACATTGTGCTTCACTAGCAATGAAGAACTGTTTGGGAACATAATAATCAGCGGCAACCTAGGCTGGAGTTATTGTGAAATAGTGAAGCTCAGGACCATTAATTGAGTGAGGACTAAGAACAGCAAAGCATAGACCTTGGACTTCAGGTGAACAGATTTGTCATTTTGGGGAACTAGTAGCTGGGATCCCACCAGGGAATGCTCTGAAAGATAAAGCAGCACAGGAAAACTGCGAGAGTTTAAGCACAGTGCCTCCAAATGCAAGAAATAAGTAAGCACACCAGTAGATGAGTGTGGCCAAACTGTGAACTCATGGTAGGGCTTCAGTGCAGAAGAGATGGGGGAAGCAGAGACAGGCTACAAAATGAAAATTTGGAAGCATTTGCTGGTCATTATGGTTGGTGTCAGAAATGTTAAAACTCATTAATTGAAGCTGGTGTGGGTATCAAAAGGCAACAGGAAGAGTTTCCATCACTACACAAAGACTACACAAACAGCTAAACAAGGCAAATATGGACTTGCCTTGTTTAGCAAGGCAAGTCCATATTTGTGACTTGAAAGAAGGGAATGATTCAGTGACAGTGAACAGTGATAAGATAACAGTGATAAGGCAGTGAGTACTTTGCCTTAGTTTGCACCATCAAGGTCTCTGATGTCTCTGTGTTTAGAGATGGTTCAAGGATGAGGAACACAACCAGCAATAGTAAGGAAGGACTCATGGATTGATTGTGAGATCTGAACCTGCCCAAATCCATGGGATCATCAAGAATCCTAATGGGACCATTGCAAGACTAAGGAGATGGAGAAAGACAGCTTTGCATCCACCTCTCAAAAGGACAATCCAGAGAACAAGAGCTTTGTCATTCTGACTCTCTCCCTGGGTACATCAGGCAGCAAGTCCTCAGGGAACATTTCTGGACAGTTGAGGAAGGGGGTGGGGATGGGAACAGCCATCCAAAATTTAATAAGAATAAATCATGTCTGACCAACATGATTGTCTGCAATAAAAAATTAAAATATTTGCAGAGAATGAGAGAGTAGTAGATAGCATTTACAGCAACTTTAGGAATTCTCTGATAAGCAGAAATTGCCTGTCATTGCAACATCAAAGTCCGTAAAAATACATAATTATTCATAGTTTTTCTCGGTACAAATCCTACCTTCTGTGATAGAAGATTGTATTAGTAGAAACTGTTCAGGTTAAAGCTAGTGGACTGGCAAGTGTACCTCTTTACAAATTCTAAATGGGATTTGTCGTGTATTATAAGCAGCCAAATTATGTCAACAGTGGTTCAAGATGGCTTGTGTCTCCTCCCTGCACACAAGTTTCTCTTAGAACTGTGTCTGTCTCTATTGTGTCCTAGGCACATGCTCAGAAAGTGGTTTTATTAGATTTTTGGAAGCTCCTGTATGACTCAAAGCTAAGAGTCCTGCTGACTTTCACTGAGATGAGTAAGTTTTTTGGAGGCTTTCAGAAACTCTTGCCTATGGGTGCCATTGTACCTACTGTTGCATGCTTATCTCCTTCCTCAGAGTCAGGCCTAGTCTTAAAGCCTTGAAGAGAGACCATGAAGCTGTCTGAGTAAATGTTGGGGTTTTTTTGTCCTAGTCATATAACTTTTTTGAGGCTTTCATTATACAAATGTGACGTGCATCTTACATCAGCGTCTAGATATATTGTTGACTATTTTGTTCATTTCTGCTGTCTAGAACATGTACTTTAGTCATGGTTTGTATCACAGGTCTTTTAGGTAGTGTTCATTTGTTACTTTGTAAAATAGGACAGGTTTATTTTGTCTACCCTGCAATAAAACCCCATGAGATCAAGGTAAAGGAGCAGTCCTATAAAAACAGAGGCTGTAACAATGTCTGTCTCACCCACAATCCCAAGATGATGATCTGCCCCGTAGTTTTCAGTATACATTAAAAATGCTTCAGTGATATACTTGAATTATGACTGTTGTATCCTGAATTGCTCTTCAGACTGAGGGAAGAGGGAAGGCAGGAAGGATTTGTGTAATTGCAGGGAGGTGGTGTGATGCAGAAGAAGAAAAATCAATTTTCTGCCATGTACAGTCTATGTCCTCTCAATCCCTGATTGCAGTTACCTGCTTATCTATGGTTTCCAGTGCCTTTCTGTAACCTCATGTAGGTCCTTTTCATACATGCACATGGTGAAATCCAGGTTGACATTCCTGACATTGCTGAATGCAAAACTGTAGTAACAGTCAGTCCTCAAATTGGCTTTGAACAGCTCTTGAGAGGTATCATACACAGTGCACAAAGCAGTGAAAATCAACTTACCTATTAGTGGGACAGAGTCAGAAGTTGCAGGCATGATCTCAGCCACGAGCAGCATGAATACAGTCAGGGAAAGAAGGACAGTGATACCTGGAGGGAGTGAACATATTTGGGAAGAATGAGGTAAATGAACTCTGCAGCTGCTCCTCTGATGTCTGTGCTGTTAAATAAAGCAGTGTCCTGATATACAGCTAAGGCAAACCCATGACTTCATATCTGTCAGTGACGATTAGAACTTCCACAAAGTGTGAGTGTTTTTAGATGCAACTCTATCTGCTCTCTTTTCCCTTTTCTCTAATACACACAAACCCTTGCTTCTCTCAAAGTAATGGAGAAATCTTTTTTGCTGAGTGAAACGAAGCTTGCAAAACTGGTGAACTACAGTGCTTTTCCGAAACATTGCACAAAGCCCAAATGATTGTTAAGGGCTAGGAGAGACTTGCACAGACAGCAGCCTAGGTTTTGCTATCACATATTATATAACATCCCTCAAAGACATGCAGTCTGTTATAAAAGAAGCTCTTTATTCTATGTGGAAAGGCTGTTGCTAAACTTAACCATCCTGATACTGAGAAATCAAAAGGTCAATGCATTAACATTAGCTCATATTTTTATGTCAACATTGTACTTCAGCTCAAATAGCTCTTTTCCTTATCCCCATCCCTTATTTCATAGACAGCAATTATACCCCTGATAGCCTGTGTTTTATTTTTTGTAAGGCAGGCTGCTCAGATACATTTTTTTTAACCAAAATAAGCCCCACTGAGGACAGTTCATATGATTTAGAAGTCTCTGTCCTGAGACAGAATCATTCGCAATTAACTCTTAAGATCTCAGCTGGCCCAGTCTGGTGTATTTACAGGTCTTGCCTATCTCCTCTTGGAAGGAGACCTTCCCATTTTTATCAACACACACAACAGTAAATCTCATTTAGCCCTTCCCATGGCTGTGTTCACAGGGGACACATGACTAGGCGTTTTGGGAGCTAATTTTTAAGGATTTTTAAGGTGAAAATCCAGTGCCCAGCTGCTGCTGTTCACAGCTCTTCCACTCTTTGCTTCCTAGTATATTTCATCTGAAAAAGAGAGTCAAGAGTCAATGAGCTGTGAAATGCATTGAGATGTACTAAAGTACATAACAACAGGCATGATAGAATATTATCACTGCCACCTTGCCAGCAACAAGTTCAGCTTCCTCCCAGGCCACAAGATATTATATGTAGCACAGAATGTGTGAATGCCATACAGAAAGCTGTTTCCTTGCTCCTGTAACCAAAAAAGTACTTCTATTGCTCTCTTCTAGTGAAATCTTTCTTCGTTGAGCAACATAGTGCCATGAGGTATTTCTTTTCCTATTTTATAGGGTGCTTATAAAACAAATGAATATTTTAGCACTTACCTAAAGAAATCTTCTCCCCAGAATCAGCTGGCAAAAGGAATACAAGCAGTGCTAAGCCAGATATGAGAACACAGGGAATGAGTAAGTTCAAGCCATAGTAGAGGGTGCGTCGACGCATGGTGATGGTGTATGTTACATCTGGGTATGGTTCTTTGCAGCATTCATAGTACATCTCATTCCTCTTCCCTGGGACACCTACAAACAGGATGATCAGAGCAGTGAGGAGAGAGGCAGGACTCCCAGTTACCTCCCTGGACTGGATCAAGAAGTGATGGTTTATGAGCCAATGTGTGTCACCTCTGCTATTCTTGGTCTATCTTCTGTGTTTTCTATGGTTTGCTTTCATGCCTTCTGAGTTATTCAAACCTAGCTTAGCTAATGAAGCTCATCTGAGCCAGAATAAAACAGTCCTGAGCATCACAACCTCAACAATGTGCATTCTGCCTTCCTACATTCTGTGAATGGTAACACATTGTTGATGTGATATTCACTAGCACATGCAGCAGATTTTCTGGGTGACAAGTGCTACTGCTTCTTACTATTCTGTGATCCTCTATACATTTTTGCTCTTTTTTTTGTCAGGAAAAACAGACAGGCTTATTTTTCAAAAAGCATGCCAAGTTAAGCTCAAAGTCTGTTATATATCTGAAGGTTAAGAGACATAGCTGTCCAATACAGCGGTACTGCAGGGTTGCCCATGGTGATCCTGCTGCAGCAGATTGCCTGACATGCTCCATGATGGGGACTGCAAGAGCACTGGAAATGTCAGGAGAGATGGAAGAAGTCAGTACCTTGTATCTTTCATGCCAAAATTGCTCACTTCTCTTTTGTTTCTGTGGACATAACAGATGATATGACAATGTGTGCATTTTGGCAGAGGCTTAGAAAAGTTTTTTTAAAGGATATAGACATGGCTTGCCTGAGGTGCTATTTAATGCTTTTGCTGTATGAGCTAAATAAGTCCCTGTTTTGTTCTCCCCCAGTCAGGGTTGAAGGCAGATAAACCACAAACTCTTAATCAGATATGCAAAGTTATTGGACAAAAATACCCACTGTAAAGGAGGACTGGAAGGAAGGATTGCTCTAAAATAGTTGGACTTTAGGAGGATTTCACTATGGAGTTTTCTGGCTTCTCATAAAACTGAATATAATTTCTCAGATGCCCTGCATGGTAAAAATACTGCATGCAGTTGGGTAGGGCACTTATTTCCTTGTCTGTATATCCGGACCAGAAGATAAACATATTTTTCGTAATTTCTCCTTGCAGTTGTCTAAGTTCCATCAATTTCTGTAACATTGCTTGTGACTTACAGCTACATAAATGAGCTCAAAATAACTTACTAGTTCTCTGAATAACTAGTTCCGGACATAAATTCTTTTGAAAATACAGGTACCTTCCAAAGCATAGAAGAGAGACATACTAATCTGTGCATTTTGTGAACTGGGAGACATTTTGATGCTTTTCTGGGTGAGAAAGATCCTTTTATGTAAAAGTGTGGCTGAAATAATTTTTACACCAATCATTTTTGCTGACGTATTTGAGTAAATGTGACAGTAGCGTTCCATGCACCTACAAGAGACACATCCAAGTTTAGTACTGACAAACTGCTCAGATGTGTCAGGACTAGTAGCTTTCATTTATGTACTCAGTGGCAGGCAATTGCTTCAGAACACAGTGTTTTCAGACACAGTTCAATGAACATTGCTGAAAGGCTGTCTCTGATATGTGATTTTTTTCCTATTTCTTTGCTTCTTCTTAGATCTGTATTTTCAATATCTGTATTCCATGTCCAATTGATTGATAATTTCTATATATTTGAGGTTTGCCTTTGAAAATTAGACTATTGAAAATTTGTACATTGGCCAATTTACCCACTAAATCCCATTCTCCATTTGAGATGTAGTTGGAAATATCAGCCTCGAGCATCTGCAGGTCAATCAACCAGCCACTGTGAGTCCAGGAGCCAAACTTCAAATCACACTTCTGCACATCAAAGGGGAACCAGCGGACATCAATGTAACATGTGCTCTTCAAAATGCCTGTAGATAGAAATCAGTCATGATCAAGCATGTGCAGGGTGCATTTCATCTTACCCTCATCTGTCTCTGATTGTGAACAAGTTTCCTCTTCAAAAATTCTGTGTGATACAGTCATGGGGTAACCAAACAAGTACTGCAGGTGGAAGATGCTGCCATGAGTGGAATAATGTCCCTTCCTCCACCAGTGAAGATCTCTCTCACTGCATCCTTGAGGTAGGTTGCCTGGGACACACATCCAGGAGCAGCCCAGCCTGTTTCCCAGTGCCAGCTGGCCCTAGCAGATTGCAGGCAGTGTTGCTTGGTCTGACAGGAACAAAGAGTACACCCCAGGGGTTTACTGTGCTGTGACCAGCTCTTTGAAAGGAGTTCCTGGACAGGCCAGGCCTCAGGCCCACAGCCCTTTTAAAATACATTGGTCTCCTAAACCTTGCTTGGTGATGGCCTTTATCATCTGTGTGGTAACCAAGCCTTGATTTTAACTATGGTTGTGTCTAGTTCATGTTCTGGGATGATTTAAGGGGTCTAATGGGTAGGGAACAACAGGGGAGCAGCCATCAGGGAATGATTGCTGATCCCTACTGGGCCTTGTGGACCTGCTTGGAGACAGTGCTATGCTATGACACAAAGTTTAGGAAATTTTTTGTCCACCACAGTGAGCAACTGCAGAATAGCCTCTCTGTCCACAGGTGAGTCCTGGATGCTGGAACACGCAGGCGGGGAGTCAGCAACAGAAACTAAAAGTGACTGAGACTTGGGCCCCACTGGCTGAGACCAATCCCAGATTGTCTTGTTACCTGGATTTTAGCCTCAGCCTGGCAAGCAGGGCTTCAATGCTGAGCAAGTGCTGCTCTTGGGGTCACCTCTGCTCACACACCTCTCCACACAACAGAGACCTAGCTAGAGTGCACATGAAACATGATGACATAGTGCACATCGCCTTACTTTGGATGACACCTTAGGGGTGCCTCTGGATGTTTTGAGCAAATTGGTCAGAGGAATATTTTACTGCTTAATAAAGTGTAAATGCCACTGATATTGGACTTAAATTTTTATAGTGGGTCTGTCTCATTATTAGACAGTCTAATAATGTTTGCAAGGTTGCAAACATTAGGTTGCAAAATTTCCACAGAGGGCTTTTAAACACCATTTGTCTCATTCATGAAGGAAACCTGCTTGAAATTACTTGATTAAAAGTAAATAAATACTCTCTGTGCCCTACCTGGAGGAATATATTGGCAGGATCCAGAGTAGTTCACCAGCACATTTGTGTGAAAAGTTGCATCAAATCTTTCATCTGCACTGTAACACAGTATAAACAGAACAAAATAAAGAAAAAGCAAGCTGATGTGCAAGTCAAGATGTAACTGTCAACATAAAAATAATCTTTTGGCTGAATTAAGCTCCTACATCTGGGTGAAGTGTCCCTTGATAAATATCTCAGTTCCTTGTTGTTACTCTCAGCCTGCACCTTGGCAGGCTGCTTGCATGCTGCAATGTCCTCAAAGAAGTGAGAGGCAGAGTGTTGCATGTTTCAGAAAAAAGGCAGAAGGAAAAGAAGCAAAAGTGCCACATTAGCTGTATCCCAAAACTGGACAGCTGGGACAATGAGGGTCTTCTAGGGCACTTTTCAAAATGAGTCCGCTCCCCACATAAATCACCTTATCTGCTATCTTACCCAGATATCTGTAGTAACAGACATATTGTAACAGCAATGGTGGCCTGACATAACAACTCTGTAGTCTCCTCAGATGCAGAGAGGACAAGAGTTTGCTTCCAGCATTGGAAGAAACCACTGGAGAGAAGTTATTTTAGGAGCTTGAAGGAGGAGATTCATTGAAACTCCAACAGCAGGAGGGACCAAGAATAAAGAATTTCTTTACTATTCCAAAATTCTGAGATAATTAAAGGAGTAATGAGCCAGACAAGGACACAATTCTTCAAAGAAGCAGGTCTGGGGGCTTGTTCCAGAGGGTCTTTTAGAAAGAGATTAGCCACAGAGGGATCCCCTAGCTTGTAGAGCCTTGCCTGTACTGGCTATGTGCAGGTTTGTGTTGCATGACTTCACCATCCTGCACACCCTGTCTTTCTACCAGATTTTAAAAATTCAGAGCCTCCATTACTCTTCTGGTCTGCTTTTTATTTATGTCTTGAGTCTTCAGTCCTCAATACAAAACAAAGGGGATGGCACTGAAAAGCCTAAGTCCAGAACAAGTGATATTTACCAAAGACATAAAAGACAACAGAAAGAGGTTTTGTAAGTACAAGGGGACAAGGAAGAGAGGAAAGGAAGGGAAAAAACAACAGGGTGCAGAGAGCTGCAGTTTCCTGCACCCTGTGTCCCTCACTTTTGCAACCCATTCTCACACAGCGGCAGGGGTCCATGGCAGAACAGGGGATGAACAGGTTAAGGAAATGTAGATAAGAGAGATTTTACTCAGCAGAGCTGATGAAATTTACTCTTGAGAACTGAAAGGACTGGCCGAAATACCCTCTGAAGCATTAACAATTATCTGTGAGAGCTTGTGGAGAAGAGGGAAGGGCATAGTGAATTAGGGGAGATCAAAGAGAATTCTGACTTCTTTTAAAGGTGAAATTATAGACATCAGCCTAACTTCAAAGAAAATGGGGTGAAACATCTGGCACAGATTTGTGAAGGGCCAACTGCCTCAAATCAATCTATTTTTTTTACTAAGAGCAGGCTGGTATCTATCTGAATTTCAGCCTGTTCTTATAAACTACAGTAATATGGACCAAGCTGTACACCTCCTTTTTAGAGAATGAAAAGGAATAAAGAGACAGTAAGAAGCAAAGCTGAGGTAAAGTAAAGCTCTTAAACAATCTAGGTGTCTCCAGGCCTCCTTTGGATATCTCGTAGTAAGGATTTGGAATGGAATATAGATCATGGTGAACTCTGGAAACTAACAAAATGAAATTTAATCTGGGTAATTAGAAAATATTACCCTGAAAACTGTCACAGAAAGACATAAGAGGGAAAATCTAGTAAGACAGCAGAGCTGAACAACAACAGCTGGGGTTTGCAATAGATAAAAAAATAAGTCCAGAATTAAGATATTATTAGAGAAACTCCAAATCCCCTTCTCCTGGAAAGCATTAAGGAAACAGCTGTCTAGAGAGTTTCCACTTCATTCAACACTGCGGCAATGCTGTCTAGAGAGCTAGATTCATCTCTGTAGAAGGAAAAACAGATTAGCGAATGTTCAGAGTAGAAGAAAGATGGAGAGGTTTATAAAATATGTGATAATGGAAGTGAGATGAAAATCTATTTGTTTACTTCAATCAGAAACACTATGACACATATAGGACAGTAGCTCTCCTGCAGATACAGTAATTTTGAAGAGACTATAATAGTTTCCTCTCTGTGTTCACTGAGAAAAAGTTAAAGAAGACATCTGCAGAACTACAGCAAGGAAGATCAGATGGGCTACTAGAAAAATGTGTTCGCTGATGCTTGCTTGTTTTTGTTACTCTTTAAGGATAAGGGGAAATCCATAGAAGGCAAAAGGCCCCTAGTATCAGTGAAGCATAGCTGACTTTCTGCACTTCTCGTTTCCTACCAGCCATTCCACATCTTGCTTACCTGTTATACAGAAGAATGTCTGGTACCCAAATCTGGTCAGCAGGAAATCTCAAGTTCTGCACTCCTGGGTATTCATACTGATCCCAAGACAAGTAAACATCAACCCAGGACTGTTGACAAACACATACATCAGATTATATGAGCTTTTAAAAGTCTTCTAAGTTCTTTGTACTATTATGGGAATAGGATAGATTTTGCCAATAGCAATAGCCTCAGTATGATAATAGTTTAATGCTTTTAATTATTAAGAAAGGTTGGCATATATAGAGGAAATAATAGTGTGACTACTGAAGACAGTCCTTAGCTTTTCATCTTGTGTCCAGGCATCCCAAACCTTTGCTGGATGGCTGGCAGATCCACTGGCAGTAGGCACTTCCATGAAGTCTGCTGGTTCTGAAGTAAAGTGGTTTTTGAGGTGGTTAGTGCTAGGTGGACCATGGTCTGAGTCTCCTCATTGGGTGGAAGTAATTTAATCTGTTAGAAAGGTTGGGTGGCTCTTTTACTAACCACCTTGCTATGAGAGGTAGGCAAGTGAATTTTAGTGACACCAAGGGACTGTTTCTGATCCCATCTCCTCCACCTCAACACAGTTAATTCGAGAAAGGTGCAGGAAAAGCTTTTGGGAAGAACCTTCTGACTTACAATGAAGCTCAGTGGGAGGCTTGCAAGCGAAACCTTAATCAGTGAAACATCTCTGCAGAACATCTGAATCTGTGGAACATCTCTGCAAAGGACAGGACACCTACAGGCTCTGACCTAACAATCCTGTAGTCATATAGGTTTGTCTCAGTTAATTTTTGCAATATGAAAACACTCATTTCTGCTGCAAATCCCAGCAGGTAGCTGAGGAAGAAACAGCCTGCTCAGCTGAACATATTAATATGAGATAGTGTTTGGCTGTGAAAATCAAAGTAGAATAAGTTTAATCATTCAAGTCTCCCACTGTTTTTTCCTTTAAGAACTGCTTCCTTCCTGACCACAGGCCCTTAAGGAGATCTGTTTATGCAGCAGAAGAAAACACTGTATCCCTCACCATAGGCAGCCAGGCAGACCTGATGGGAAATTCCGTCCTGTAAAGGAGGTCCCTTTCCTTAGTGAAGGTCAGTTTTGCTTATTCTGTGTGAGCATGCAGGTGAATACTCCACTGGAGCAGGTTGCAGAAGAGGGAGGAGGAATGTTTATGTAAGAGGTTTGTCAAGCATAAGGGAAGGCAATATCCCAGAGAGCTGCCTGGGTGCTGCCAGCAGCAAAGCAGCCCTGGGCCCTCTGTGGTCTCTGGACTACCCACCACCCCCTATGAGTAGTCTGCATGTGACCACTTCTGTGTTCAGGGACAGATGCCCTGGCTCCCAGTCTCGGGCCGAGGTGGAAATTTCCCAGAAGTGGTAAGTGCAGGTGCCTGTTTTACTGGGTGTTTGGCTTGCTCATAAGTCCCCATCACTGGTTATGGAGAGGGCCTTGAGCCCCTTGAAGATACTCTTCTCAGCTATGATGAGACTCTAACTCTGGACTCTGTTACTAGATCACTACATCCACTGGCAAAACAATGCAGTTGGTTTCTATGCTCAAAAGGTCAACAGGTCTGTCCAAACGATTAATGTAGTCTCCTGAAGTTAATTTTCAATTCTAAAAGGAGTACTAGAGAAATTTTAAAGGACTCAAAATGCCTGTATTGCATTATACATAATCTATAAGATAGCAGTCTTGCTTTTCTGCTAAGAAATCACATTCAGTAGGTTTCAATTAGAGTTTCTTTACTAATAGACGTTACTCACCATCTGCAGCCAAGCATTGGTGATCAACACCTGATTCTTCTCATCCTTTGAACAAAAGAGGGAAGGAAAGACAAGAGAAAAAGGGATGAAACAGTTTGATTAGAGATGTAAGAGTTTCTGTGTCTTCTAGAGAATCCACACTTTTGGGGTACATAAACCAAACTCCATGGAGTAGATTGTGAGCTCACTGGAACACCACTATTTGGCCCAGGCAATAGTGGCTCTTTTTCTTATCCTTTAAACCTACAGACTCCCTGTGTTTGTCATAACTGATCAACAATAGAAAGGAAAGTAATAGATGATTAACTTCTTTTTCTGGGGATGAATTCCTTACCAAGTTTTACCTTCTAGCTACCTGCTCAAAACAAGATGTTTTTCAGTACCACACTACATGTCATAGCCGGAGAGATTTTATGTTGTGTTTGCTACCACTACAATGCAATGGTGAAATAATGCCAGAAGTGCTGTTCTTTTCAAGTATCATTGCTATGTAAGTTAGCTCTGGCTAAAGGAAAGAAAGGGCTGACCTTAGGCTGAAGCTATCACTTGGCTAAAAGGACACATATGCTGCATGAGAGGGAGCTCACAAAACACCTTCACAGAGCAGGAGTCAGCAGGTTCATTCCTGCATGCAGAGACCATGGGGAAGAATCTATTATAACAGAAACAAAGATGTTCTCACCACCCAGTTGGTGCCTAAGTTCTGTGCCTGGCTTTCTGCAGTTACTCGGCAGGTCCAGGACCTGCACCGTGGGGATGAAGAAGCAGGACTGCAGAGTCACTGTGATGCCGATACACGGGTTCCCAAACAGCACAGCAGCCATGCCCTGCACCTCCCAGGAGCTGAGGCAATGCTGCTCAGGGGGCCTGGCTCACTGCATGCCCAGCTGTCCCTGTGTGTGTCCATGCCCTAGGAAGCTTATGTAGTTGTCTGCAGTGTCTCAGGTGGGAGACATTGCAATTGCAAGCTGCTTGGCACACATTTAAACCATACAGAGAGCTCCCTGGACATGCATGCCCTCTCTGGTCATGTCATTATTGCAGTACTTACTCTCCAACAAGGTAGAAAAACCCTGTTCACTTTGGAAGAATACCAGTCTGCCCACCTCATGCTACATTCATTCTGCCTTTCCTCCCTCCTCCCCTCCTGAGTCACCCTCACAGTACATATGCAAAGAAACTTTCCCAGAAGTGTCAGGGAAGGGCTGCTCAAAATCAAACTGCAACATCTCACTGCAACCCTAGGTGTGTCTGGTTATCTGTGTGTCCTCTGGAGTTACTTCTTCTGTGTCCCATGGAGGAGCTGCAGATTCCTAGCCTAAGGCATGAAGGAGAACTGCCCAGAGAAGTTTCCTAATTACCAATTCCCCAGCACAGCAGGCACTGGAGCAGTGGTACTGCTGAATTCTTAGCATGAACCTTGTCTGTAGCATCATCTCCTCTTTTTACATTTGGGTTGTTAGAGCTCCAGAAATACAACAACCTAGAAAGGGAGACATCATTGACTATTACAGAAACACTCCAGCAAGGAGTCCAGCTGTAACATCAACTTCTGGAGGATTCCTGATTTGGCACTGTGGCCAGAGTTAGGCTCTGCAGCAGGCCCCTTTTTACCAGGAAAGGTAAATTTCAGACAGGAAACAGGTCTTTGCCATAGTGATCCCCATAAAACTGTCTATCACAGTACCTCTTCTTGAGTCCCCTTGAGACCTGACTACACTGCTTCTGCTGCTGTGAGATGCCACACAAAAATCAGATGTGATTTTATATTGTTACACTGATCATACATTTCCCTTTCTCCTCTTTGCTGCTCCAGCAAACGTACTCCTCTCTATATGCAAACTACAACCCACCTCCAGAGGCCTGGTCCTTCTGCACCCCCTTTTGTTCCCTTGGTTGCTGTGGTTGAAGCAATTGTAAGAAAATCTGTAGAAAAATAAGAGAAGGACTGGGCTTGTTGAGACAAGTTTTTTAGATGCTGGAGGATTCAAACATCATCTTGAAAAATAAAATTCTAAAGTAAAGAATAACCCCAGAGCTGGTAATTGATAGAGTCATCAGAGCTATCTGTGTCCACTGACCTGGGAAATGAAAGCAACCCAGAAACACAGAGGTTGTGTCTCAGGGATCCTCAGAGGCTAACCACCAGCCCATCTGATTGATGCATTCCTGGCCACCAGTGACTCCTGAGGTGTCCTGTAGGGCTGGCAAGCATGATGGTCGTCTGAATTGCACATCAAGTACTAACAATATTTTGTGCACTTAGCCAAAGAATGCTTTATACTTGTACGCTGCACATGTCCTCCTAACAAAGACTTTCTGTGTACTGTTAAAAGAGCCTGAACAACATGATTAAAAATCTGGTCAGCAACAATCAGCCAATGCCATTGCTGTACAGAACTAAGGATTTTTCCCATCTACACTGAAACTTGCAGGGAAGGGGAAGAAGGGACATTCCTCATTTTGTCATCTACCTATGTAAACCTCACAGGAATGCATTAAAGTCCAATGTGAGGCTGGGGGTTTCCATCATGTGCAGATGCCTTCCATCAGGAGCCTTTCATAAGTGGCTCTGATTTACAAGGAAACTAATTTTTTTCTGGCACAGTAAGTTTATACTAGACAGCTTGCAAAGGAAGATATCTCAGGCTGACTTCTGTATTTCACAAAACAGTTTGCTGTCTTTACCTGTTTAACTGTGTGTCAAATACTAATAACTGGCTAATCAGCTTTGATTCAAAATAATTATTCAGACAGGTATTCCACGTAACATTAAATTTACTGTCTTGGGTCTGCTTTGCCTGCTTTTTCACAGGGCTACTGTGCTTAGATATGTTTCGTAGTCAACGGAAAACTTACCGTTTTGAGTTCTCAAATGCTTATCTAGAGAGCAATGATGGTCTTCCTTGTCAGGTGTTTAGATATCAGTAAAACCACAAGGTCTAACAAGGGCTTTGGGCTGCTTACGTTTCTCTTAGCTTGGGTGAAACAATAAAGTCACTTCAGGATGTTTTCTTGGCCATTCAGACGCTATTCCCATCCTTGTCTTCAGGCTGCTGAGCTCTTAAATGGTATCTGACATTTTGGCAAAACACAGAAAATGCTTACATATGTAGCGCTGGTCAACAGATGCAGCCTGATGGGTCCTTCTCGTTGCATGACAGAATAGAACATTTTTCAAACAAGCATCTGAGTTTTACAGAAGTGCCTGGTTTGCAGAAGCAGCAAAGCTGACTTCATACTGGGCAGAAATTTTTCCAGGTGTAGCTCTCCTGCTAAGTCCTTTCTGGAGGAGGACCCTGAGGGAACAAGGAAGAAGTGCCTGCTGGGGCTGCCAAGGAGAGGAGGGCCATGGGGACCTTGAGTCTGAGTTCACCCCCTGTTAGAGTGAGAGGCATTTTAGAGCTGAGGTGTCTATGGAGCTTTCTATCTTTGTGGTAGCTTTGCATTCTGTAAGGAAATACTTTGGCCTTTGCAGTAGGCTGATTGCCTGGCCTTTCCAGAGCTGCAGAAGAATTACAGCTCCTGCCATCTTCATCATGACCTGTGTGCTGTATGCACCCCTAAAATAGCTTAGCACAGAAGGGACTGTATCTTTCTGTTACACAGACACACACAAACAATTAACTTGGACAAAGTCTGTCCCAGGAGATCACTGGTTACTTATCTTTGCAGAAATTAAAAGGTAATTATTGAGCTTGGGAAGTGCTGGAGGCAGTTCCCTCATTCTGTGTCACTGGTTTATGCAGAGGGGTTTAAAGGTTAGTTGAGAGGATGCCTTTCCTCCCAGGAGAAAACTTGAATAATCTCTCACACTGCTTTTTCTGTTCAAGATTCCCATCTTGGCACTGTCAGCCTCGGGAATGACCTTCCCTCTGCATTGAGCCAGATCTCAGCTCCCATCTTTTTTTGAAGCAAAGCATTGAAAGCAGTCCTGCAAAGATTCTGGGTGAGGCTGAAAATTATCAGCTCCCAGAGGTGCTATTCCATCATTCCTCTGGCAGTTCTCCTGGTTTGCAAATGTTCAGCTCAGACAAATAATTTTGCTTCTAGAATTTAAAAATGCTAGAAAAGCTGTGGTCGCAAGTGAGTGCAACACTTGTTCTCTAAATCCTTCCTGTATTTATCTGGGTCATTTTCTTCCCTTTCTATCTCTAGCCTTACTCCAGTTAATCCTCTGCCCTGGATATCTGCTTATTCCTACCACCTTTGACCCATGTAAAGTGACAGTTTGGTTTGTTCTGGTGCACATGCTGTGACATGTGAATGTTTTAGTTTGGTTTTCTTTTCCCTGCCCTAAATTTAAAGCTTACAATGGACATACATCTGCCTACATTGTGCACCACTGCCTGTCAGATGCTCCCTTGCCAGGTCAACACCCTTAACTACCCATAACTACTTGGGTCACATCACCTGGACAAAAAAAACCCAAAGCCCTTGCTGGTTCAGTAGTCACATCATATGATTACATGTCATCTATGCAGCAAGGCATTTTTTACCACATGATCAGCAGGAGTCATTAATTCTTGCCCTCTCACAGAGCCACAGAAGTTGGAGTTGAATCAGCCACTGAACTATTTCAAGACAATGATCAGAAAAGTCCCTAATTGAGCAAGTAACTCTCAATGGTCATGTGTGACTACTTAGGTACCACTTCAGGTAATTGAAATTTTTTTCCCACTGTTTTTATACCTGAATATCTGAAGATGAGAACTGAAGCAGTCAAGTGACATGAAAACATTGACATGGAGACTTGTAAAGTTTTGTTAGCAGAGACACTGATCTTTGAGTGGGATCTTGTTCAAAATATCCAAAGGAATTGATCAAGCTTTCAAATGCTTGTATACTCAATCTGCAACTGTACAGGCACTCCTTTCCATTGCTGAACCACCAATCTACCCACAATTTTCAGCTGATTATCTAAAACTCAAATGCATTGAATGGTTGAAGGCTCACAGAGCCAGTAATTTTGAGGAGTGCCTAGGTTGCCCTGGCAACATTTAAGTAAGCATTGCTGGACAGCCTTTTTATTTCAGGGGTCTCAT